ATCCTGGGGGAAGATGCCTCCAAAAAGAGAAGGTGAAAAAAATACACAATGGGAGTCACCCTAGCAGAGGTTTAGTGGGCTTATACCATAGGGCTGTTTGGGGTTTTTTGTGTTAATGCTGTTGATGAAAGAGGTAGTTGTCATCAGGATCTGAAACCAGAGTCTGAAGCATCAAAGCACAGACCTCTACCACCATGAGTTAAACCAGGGGTTTAAAACTTATGGTCTATGGGCCAGATCCAGGCCATGGAGGTGGATCATTTGGCCTGTGGAGCTTTTTGTGGGTTGAACCATTCACATCCATAAGCCAAATTTGGCCCATGGGATTGATTGCCATGGTTGCTGAAACCCTTGCAATAGTGGCATGGATCCCTGCTGTTTTGCCATGGCTCCAGAATACAAGGAATTAATGTTGTCCACTCCCCCCACTTCTTCTTGCTACTGAATCACACTTTTTGGTTGCTTCTGGTGACTAAGACTGGTAGCAGAGAAAAAGGGGGAGGGGGAGGGTGGCAGTGGTGTTAACTCTTTGTTTTCTAGCCCTGAGGATTCCCTTAGACCACCAGCAGCCTGGATCTGGCTTGTGGGGCCCAATTAATTTGATGCTCCCGAGTTAAACAAATACTTCTAGGAGGGATTAGCAGCAACAGGCTTCTAGCTGTCACGTGAACAAACAATCAAAGAAGAACACAACCACCATACTTCACAAGTGTTATATACTCTTAACATCTCCCTCCTTCCCCTTCTTTTGGCCAAATTAACGAAACTGTTTCCATACCTCAATTCCACTGTTTGCTATTGTAAGCCATTGATGTCTGGGATTTCATAAAATCTGACTCAGTGCAAGGACTTATGATTGAAATGAAAAAAATGAACCCACTGAAAGAAAGAAGTCTGGGGCCTCAATGGCCCCTAATAACAATGACAGAGATACATTTGTTCTGGGCTTTCTGTCTTGCTTGTAACTTTTCATATGTATACCTCATTCCCCAAGTCAGTCTTGATGGGATCCACAGCTGCCATTTTAGTTACAGTGTAAAATTTAAGCTCCTATCACTCCTAATATATTAAATACTAATGCAGAGCTGAAAGCTTCAGCATTATTTTAACAATAAGATGCTCAAAGGAGAAAATCCAGTGATATGTCTAACTTTCTGTTAAAAGCATTCTAGTATTTTGAAGAACACACCTAAATAGATTAACAACATTTCTGTGGGGAAAACCTCAAAACACTACTTTAAATGTCATGATGCTGCATGGGGAATCTGGACAATTTACAGCTGCTGGGGATCTGTCCCTCTGGGTTTAACTTCAGTTGGTTTTACAAAGGGTTAAATTACAGTGCATCTTACAGGCTGATACGTGGGCTAAATAGTTGGGAGACTGATTTGTAATCTTTATTTATGAGTTCATGACTGCTATTTTTATAAATGTAATCACTTTCTTGGTACTATCTGGTAATATCTGAGTCATGAGGTGCTGACAAAAATCCAACACACTTAATGTGAAACTCAAAGCATTTTGCTCATTCCAAAAGATATTAGCAATATCCAGCTCTGCATTTAACTGACAAATAACATGCACATATGCACCTAAGACAGTTCTACTCCTATGTTTCTCTCCTTAATATTTTTCATGGAAATACATCAGCATTTACACCATGGCAGGAATCCTTTTCTATTTTCTTCTGGACAGCATTATTGGGCACTAATAGGTGCAAAAAGTGGTAATTCTGAGCTGACCCAAGCTGAGGAAGCAGAATCTTCCTTCAGTTTATTGCATTTCAACCTGGATCTCTTGACAACAAAATTAAAGCCTAAATATTTTATCATCACATGAAGAAAAAAACCTCTCGCTTGGAGTGGTGCACTGAAATATTTAACCCGATGCATTATTCCCCTCTTTATTTGCAGCCATGCAACAGGATATGAAAATGAGAACCACACTGCTCCTATGTTATATAGCTGTGGGGCCCAATACAGAATACACACCCATGGAGTTTTTAGAGGAATACAAGTGAGTATATTAGGACATTGTAGAGGAAGAAACAAACTTACCAATCATTTATAAGGTGCTATCCAGTAATGTATCAACTAATGGGTTAGTGTTGATGATTCTTTTGCTAATTTTATAGTACTCTGTGTCTAAGAAAGCACAGAAGGTGACTTTTGATTTCATTGAAGGATCATATAAAATCTGCTTTTTACACAGTTGTTGTATGAAAACTCATGCATTTCTCCTTCTAAAATTTACCCCTTGAGCCTTAGTCTTCACTGAATTTAGGATTGTCAAAAATTGGAGGCCCCTTTTCTTACTTGAAAGTTAGGTATACGGTAACTTTGGCCATCTATGGTTTCTGCAGCTTGGGATTGTGTATGTAGTTCAGTTGACGCCTGGTTAGTTTTGAAACTCTGAATTTGTGAAACTAGCAATTTGAATATCATTTCTTGAAAACAAAAATAAAATAAATTATCACTTCTTAATAGTTAAATAACTATTAAACATTTGAAAGTATCATGAAGTAGCTGATTCTGTGGGAATTCTGAGGGAATTTAGCATGGGGAGTTGTCTATATTTTCCCTTTGGATAATTTCATTGCTGTATATAAACTAGATGAAGAGATGCTAATGCTATTCTTTCCTAATGGAAAAGACAAGTAATCATGATTGTATTGTAAGTTAAGTGATCTACATGTGTTGAAGTCAGTCTGAGTGTTGTCATTGACTACAATAGGATCAGGCTTGTGGATATACATACTTGTGTCAGTGATAGCACACAGCATTGATGTTTCTGTTGTTGTAGGATGTCCGGCGAGTGCCAGGAGTACCTCCAACTATTGTCCGATCAGCAAGTGAGACAAATGAAAAACGTCCCTTCATGTGTGCATACCCTGGCTGTAATAAGCGATACTTTAAGTTATCTCATTTACAGATGCACAGCAGAAAGCACACTGGTAAGTGTATTCATTGACTATTTTAAGCAAGAAGCTACCTATGCAGGTTTGGAAGGATGTTTTAAAGACAACATGGGGTACAGAAGGCCACCCTTATATACCTGTGCAGGGGGAAACTCATGTGACAGGTTCTATCACTTAGGTAGTACCTTCCCCAGAAGATTCGCTGTGGATCTACAGAGGAGCAGAAGTGAAAGGAGTGGTGCTGGGAACAGACATATCATTTGCCCCCCTCCTCCAGCACTGTGGCATATGAACGACTTCAGAACCATCGCTACTTCCATCAGGAGGGTGAACCCGGCTCCCATATTAAAAGCATTCAGAGGAAATTCCTTCAAAGGGAGCCTCAGAGTTTTCTGTTTCTTCCCCACCCCCTTTATCTTTTCTTGGGAAGAACTGAGCATACCCAAAGAAATGTTGCTCATTACTGTGGGCTCACTGAACATGTCTTAAGTAGTTCTTTATGAAGCCAGTACTATATATTATAGGAGCGGGATCCCCTGGTTTTTTTTTATACCCCCAATGCTTCTTGAATTCAGTACAGGCTTTGGGAGCTCAGGACCTGCAAATTAAGCTGTAAGGGGTGGACAGCTAATGTACAGCTAATCCCTGGAAAAACTGTAAGCTGAATGAATTTTTATTTCACAGATTTATATTTGAAAGGAAATATATTATTCATTTTTTTCCTGGTTGTATACATTTGATTTAGAGTAAAGTTGCCTGGGCTGTTCATAGAAATCAATGGGTAAAATGTTCAGTTAATACAATGAAGTATGAAAATAGTGGAATACCATAAGTATTGTCTAATTTACGTGTACACAGCAATTAAAAAGAGGTTAAAGATAATTACTCGTGCATTTTTAACTTCATAATCTACAATACTGCATGGGGCACAGTTGGAGTGTTTGGCTGGATTTCCTCAATGTTGCTGAAGAGTATAGATTAAAGATACCTCAGACTGCAGCTACAATTTAAACTCTATACAAATATCACTCTATTCTCCATAAACAACTTTGAAATACAGTTTTGGAGACACTTAGTGGCCTCTCACAGCTATTTATGGCAACATTTTTCTTGGAAAAAAGTCTAAACAATTTTGAATTGTTTTCATAATCACCCTTTTTTCCTTCACTCTTAAGCTGATTTACTCTGAATCTTGATTAATATGATCTTAAATATGATCTTAAATTTTTGTTTTATTACATGCAGTGGCTTGGTTTTTCCTGTATTATTTCTGGATGTATAACAAGGTTTTTAGGTTACTCCTAAATCTTTTCAATTTTAACTGCAAAAGATATCTACTATTATACCACACATTATTTGGGGGCTGATCAATGGCATGGAGCAACAGAAGCCCCAGCAACCTCCAGATTTTGGTACTATAGCTGGCCAGTTGCTTCCAAGTTATCTGACTCTCTTCTGAAGTGACCTGGAGAGATGAAAAGGAGAGAAGGCATATACTCATGTAAATAAGTTTGCTACCCTCTATACTTAGAAAACTTTGAAAAATATTACTTCAAAACAATCTTTTTTAGAGGTGACCCCAGAGTTTAAGATATTTGAACCCCAAACCTGGCTCTGAACTTCACAAGTTATTTCATATTCAGTAGTTTTTGAGGATTGGATGTGAACTTTTTGGTTGGATCCTGTATCTGGTTTCTTTGTAACTTTAACTTTGTTTCTTGCATTCTAGTCCCATGGTTGGATAGACTTTTTATGGAAAGATGGACTGCTCTTAGCAAACACTGCAAATAATTTTTTCTTTTTTTCTGGGAGTGAGGGGGAGCTCCTGTTTGAGTCAGTTATAAAAAGTATTACTTCCTGGTAACAACATTTTCTGGGTTACAGCTTTTCTACTATTCTTTTCTTTCTCTATCCTACTTGCCCTTTTTATGTGTGAGCTTCTCAGGGAGACCTAGAAGGGACCATGTTGACCCCAATGTGACTAGGACGGGACTAGCAGGATTGGGGTGTTGTAGCTGTGATGGTCTTGGAGATAAATGAGAGGCAAGGGGTTTTTTTGTGCTGTAAGATGGGGGGCACCTAACTGACCACAGCTCTCGTAAACATCTCTCTTTGCTTGTTTGCTGCCAGATCACTAACACCTGAGCAATGTAATTCTAGATTCTATACTTTATATGCCAGCTGGTTTGGATGGAGCCAGCATAAGCCTTTTAGGAAGGGAATGGCCCTCCTTTTTTCCATGCCCACATCCTTTTTCCTTCTAGGCAGTAGTCTGGCTAGTTGCATTAAAGTTTCATCATTTGCAAGGGTCAGTCACCAGATAAATGAATTTTTGTTGTGTCAGCTTTCTCATTCTATGGCCAGCATACTTTATTTTTTTTCTGTTTGTGGTGTAATGAGGTCTCTGAATACACTCATGCAGTTGGAAGCCCTTGCATCCTTCTTCATGTAGTAATAGATCAGGTTTTGCCATAGCAGATACTTGATTTAAAACAAGATTTAAAACTGATTTAAAATGGCTAATTCTGTTACAAAATAATTTTGGCTCTTCATTTTTTTCCCATCACCCACATATTTCCCAGAGACTGACTTATTAGATCATCTGCTTCTTTCCTGATAATAACTGCTGTATTGCAAAATCGAGTAGAGCTCTGAAGCACAGAACTGGAACCTGCAATCAGTTTTTACCAATGTTTCAACATAGCTTTGGTTGAAAATATGTTGACATTATGAACCTTCAAAGATTGCTTATCCATTGTTAACAACGTAATTATTGAAACATATGTAACCAAAAAAACATGCTTTTTATCTTGAAATATTCTATGATAGTAGACTAGGCTTCTCGAGGAAATGCAAACATAAATATACATTTTAATACAGAAAATAATCTAGTAAGTTTAATGAAGCTGGCTTCCTGGATTCAGTTTGGAATTGATAAGTGAAAGACTCTGGCATTGTAAAAAAATTTCTTTATGCTTTCATAAACTTGATTTATAGGGGAAATATTCCCATTTTTGCCACTGGCCACTTTTCTGGTGATTTTTCTTGGCAGAGCTACGAATTTATTCTGAGTAGAAACTGTTCATCTATAGAGAAAATAGTGCATCAGCTGTTTTGTCTATGAAACCTACTTTTCATCCAAAAAAGGAAGATGAAAGCAGTAATCACTGGAGATTTTGTAGTAACATGCTGGAGAAATATGTGAAACCATGTTTCCATCAAGTATCTATCCTCAGTGAAGGATAAGAGTTTGCAACTAATTGAGTTCATTGCTTCAGCTCTGGAGCTTCACCTTTTAGTGTTAAAGGTCCAAATGTATGATGTCTAAATGTTTTTGACTTTTGGTTCATTACATTTGAAGTGCAATAATATGTGAATGTTGGTGAGATCTTGCACAGTGACTGTATCCTGGTTATACACCACTGCTAGAGCCCTTTAACTATGGTATCTGTCTCCTTGATTTTCCTCCTGTGCCTCCTTTCATTCATTTAGGTGTTTATATGGCCTATATATGGCTGTGATATCTAAGCACCTCATTGGCCTTAATTAACTTTATTTAAAGAGCACTTCTAAGAGATGGAGCACTATTATTCCTATTTAACAGAGGGAGAATGTAGGGTGGATGAAGTGGCTTGTCCAAGGTGACATATGAGATCTGTGCTTGAGCTAGGAATGGAATCTCAGGCACCTATACATGAGCAGCGAGGCTGCTTCAACGTACTGTAATTACAGTGCGTCAGAGCAGGCTCAATTAATCGAGTCTGCTGGAATGTGGTAATTCTTTTGCTTCAGCAGACTCCAGCGTTTCATGTATCAGTGTCACCACACTTAAAAATAGTGCTTTAATTAAAGTTTGTCGAATGAGCTTTAGTTAAAGTGACCATGCTGCTATTCTATTCAATATATACTTAAACTTCTTCTGCATTTAATTTACAATTGGGACACAATAATCTTGTCACTACGTTATGTTTCACAGACATTCCCCCTCTTAACTCTGCCAGATGACTAAGTCCCTTGGAACTAAATGGTTTCTGAGAAGCAGGAATTCCCATGGGAGTCTTTGTGGTCAAAGTGTAGGGAATCATTTTAAACACTTGTGGCAAATATCATCCTGTACATTAATCAATTCAGATAACAGACATGGAAATAGCCCATGTTTAGGTTTAAGAGTCAATACACTCCTTTGGGTAACTGTCACAGGAAGTTATAAAGTTCTCTTTACAGATATTTGATAATTATGATTAAAATCTTGAAGTTAGCTACACTAATATAAATCTGGAATTTTCCATTAATGTACTTGATTACATGATTTGCAAAAATGTTACTGAGATCAGAATGAGCATAATCCCAGAATACTTAAAACTAAAATCATAATTTTCACCAGCATCTCAAAACTACTGCTTTATACATTATTGAGCTGTACAAACAGATTTGTAATGTAGCACATTTTAAATGGGCAAAAACAGGCTAAAAAGGCCAATATTTTGCAAAGTAAAAGTCATTGAAACCCTTATGTCTTCCTATTTTTCCTAATTTTCCTGAATAATTGCAACTAAAAATGCTCATTAAAGAGTTCAGTTTGCTTTTGCAGACCACATATTAGATGAACACAGCATCTCATGAGGTATACATTGCTAGTGTACCATGTAAGGTACAATATTCATGTAACATAATGCTTTTTCTCTGCTCATTTTCCTAAAGTAATGTAATGAATACTGAATTTTGAATTTTGGGTGATTGTATGCTAGATTTGATGCTTTAGAGACAAGTGTCTTTTCTGCTCTGTATAGATATTGAAGAGGTCTATTCTTGTTTACATTAAGGTTCTTTTACATGACTTTGGAAGTGCAGAAGGAGTTTAAAGTGAGAGTTAATGTCATTTATATGGATTCAGGCCCCTCTTGAATGTCAGAGTGATAAAGGGGACTAAGTGTAAATGTGAAGCAGACCTTAGAGATTCTTTATCCCTTTCTGAAAGAATACATGGCTTAGCTCTTCTGTGTTGATCAAATTGTCCCTCCCTCTGCTACTGAACCAACTTCTTTGCATTCCTTTCCCCTGAAATGGATTCATTTCTATAGTATTTGTATGTTTATATGCCTGATAAAGCCCTTTATAATGAAAGGAACTGTACATATTTGAGACACTCTTTTTTAATATTTGTGATTATATTTTGTGCCAGACAGACTGATTTCTAGGATCCTGAGTGCAGTTGTATGTGGAGGAACAGTTTACTCAATTTTTTGAATAAGGGCCTTTGAAAGAATTAATAGACTTGGGTGAAGGATTTGTACATTTGCATATGCAATGCAAAGTGCTACTTTTCATGGTGTTCTGTGGTTTTTGGGTAGAAATGTACTTTATTCTAGGATTAAATATTGGTAGTTTTTACACAGTTAAATTTACTGATCTTACAGATGTCATGGGTTTGGACTTCTTCCTTCAAATTCAATTTAGATCAAACTGCAAGTTGTCTCTGTGCAAATTATTTTCTTCTAGAAAATGCTGAAATTGTTTTGATGATCTTCAGGAATAAAAAAGACACATTTTCTATTTTTATTATAAAATGTTTTGCTGTGAGAATGCACTTTTTATTCAGCTCTATGAAGTCTCTTCCATTTGAATCTATTTGCTCCTTTCTGCAACAAACTGATTCAAGGTCAAATTCTTCAGATCTGGAAGTCAGGCCAGACCCATTTATTTCAATAAGACTGTGTTGATTCATTACATTGATAATCTGACCCTTTAAATACAGGCTGTGAGAAAAACACCTAGCTTTTTAGTGAAGTAACTACTATCTATTCTAAATTCCACTGAAACACCCAATTTAAGTATATCTTTCAAATGCTGCCTTTATCCTCTTCAGGTGAAAAACCATACCAGTGTGACTTTAAGGACTGTGAGAGAAGATTTTCCCGTTCAGACCAACTCAAACGACACCAAAGACGACACACAGGTATGGCTGCCAATCTCTCTTTAAAGTTTTTCTGAATGTTCAAATTCCCATTTGAGAAAATTTATTTCTAGTTGCCAGGAGGGAAGG